CGCCCCGCCCCGATCACGCCCCATTCCCAAGCCACGCCCCTCCCACCCCGCTGCCTCCCCAAAGTGCCTAAGCGCCGTCTCCGTCCCCAGCTGCCCTTTCTCTCCAGCCATCGTTCATCTCCAGCCATTTCTCTCCACCCTGTGGTGGACACACGTTCCCTCCCCAGAGCCAGTCTTCCTCGTGCAGCCCCTGAAACCAGGACCTAATGGCCCTGGGGAGGGGCAACCTTGGTGAGAGAGCAGGTAGGGTGGGGGTGGGGTCTGGGGTCTCCAGAGGCTTAAAGTTCAGCCTTCTTAGATTGGGAGGGTGGGATAAGAGCGGATTAGAGAAGGGCTGTTGGAGAGAAGAGGGCCACCCCTCGTTGTGTAAACTGCTCGGATTGTGCCAACGGCCCCTCCGCATCCTCCCAGGATTCAGGACTGGGTCTGGCCTTGTGTGCGCTTGTGGGGCTGTCTCGCTGGGAAGCTGACGCTCCACCTCTGCTTTGGGCCTTGAGGTGCCTGCCTTCCCCAGCTGGGAGAGTCGTTAGAAACTGCCTAGTGACGCCCAGTTACCAGATGGGGAAACTGGAGGCCTCCAGCGGACTGACAGCGCCCAAGGCCACATATGCTTAGCGGTTGAACTGGAACTAAAAGGCAGGTCTCGCCACTGCTGCCTGGAGATTCTAGCCATGGCTGTCAGGGGGACAGTGGACAGGGACTGAGACAGTGGTGGGAGGGCCTCCCTGGCTGGGAGACAGCTCTCTGTGAGTCAGGAGAAGAGAAGTGGAGGGACAGAGAAGGTGATGCAGATGGAAGTGAGGGAAGGAGCTGGCCTGGCTCAACCCTGGGCTCTCGCTGCAGCCAGGGAGCTGGCCAACCAACGAGAAAAGGGACCAAGGAGGTGACTACTGTGGCAGGTGGGGAGATGAGAAGACAGATCTTGTGGTTTTGCAGCCTGGGGGTGGGGTCCTTAAGAGGGAAGGGTCCCACCTTTCCCCCTGTGAGTGTCCACTGTGGGGTGGGGCTGACCACTGCCATTGATTGCCTTTCTCCTGGGAAGCTCAGCCCCAACCCCTCCCCCCACACTGTATACAGCCGCCCCTCCCCGCTGTTTATTTATTGCACGAATCTAAATTATTCTCCCCAGCCAGAGCCCTAGCACCCACTCCCTGGAAAAGTGGTGTGTGGCCCTGAGCTGGACTTTATATTTTATATCTGCAAATAAATCGCATTTTATCTTATATTTAGGGAAAGCCGGATGGCAACAACCACCAAAAAATGTTAAAAAAAAAAAATTGCCCGGCCCCCAGAATTTATTTATTTTCTGACTTACAGTAAGCGAGTTATCCTCCTTCTGTATTTTGTAGACTTTCTGAATAAAGTCAAGTTCTCTTTTTCCACAGTGAAGAAATGTGTGACCTGGGCTATGGTTTTTTTGGTGGGGATGTTCCAAATGAGGGGCCTAAGATGTGGTTCTGCTTTCAATCTGGGTCAGGACCCTCTGCTGATGAAGAATTTGCAGATGGAGAACTATGCGCCCTCACTAGCTCGTGTACGTGGACTTGGGGGTGGAGTGGAGGCCAGAACATCTGTCCTTCCATCTGGTTGCCTGGAGCCAAAGAGCCTCCCTGGGGAAGGCAAAGCCAGGAGGACAATGAAATGCAGGGTTAAACTCCCTGGGCGTCCCTTCAGTGAATAAACAGTCCCACCCAGAGAGGAAAATTCCCAGATTTAAGGGTAATCTCTCTAGCACTTTCACATCGAGCTCTGACTTTATAGCCAAGTAGAAAATATTTTCCCCATGTTCCGGAAGGCACAGGGAGGCGGGAAGAGAAGCGGCTTCCTCAGCCCCAGCCTGAAGGCCTAAAACACAGCCCTGTGTCTCACCCTGGGCCCCAAACTCACTGCAATCTCTACCCGGTGTGCCAGCCCTTCTGGGGCACCCTGAGCAGGAGTGGGGGGGGCCTGTGGTCTGCAGGGCAGGAAAATCGGGGTTTGAATCCAGGTGTGTCTTTTCCTAGCTGTGTGACCTTTGATGACTTATTTAGCTTCTTGTGGCCTCAGTTTACCCATCTGTAAGTGAAGGAACTCAAGGGCATAGGTGTGACAAGCATTGGGAACCCCAGGGGCCGCAAGCTTTAACACTGAGGAAACGTTTACACGGCAAACGTGTCACGACTGTGAGGAGGATTTCTGCGTGGCTGGGTATGGAGGGATGGGGCTGCGAGGCGGATGCGTCTGTGGAAGGTGAAGGACCTGAAAGCTGGGGAAGGGCCAGCCCACATGGTTGGCTTGGTCCACAGACCCTTCTCCCCCATCTCAGGCTGAGGCCCCCCGATTCTGATCCTGAGATGCTGAGCTCAGGCTGCAGAAAGGGCAGCAGGAAGCCTCGGGGGGTTAGCAGCCGGCCAGGAAGCTCCCCCGCCCACGCCGCATTCCTGAGCGCCACGTCAGCGCAGGCCAGGCCCGGGGAAGGCATGCAGAGGGCACGAAGGTGCCCTGCGCCGCCAGACACCTGGCCTGGGGGCAGGCGCAGTGCCCACCGCCCAGCGGGCCCTGCTCCAGACCTCCGTGCCTCTAGGGGGAGGCACCTTGGGTCCTAGGGTGGAGGGTGGGCTCAGGGAGGCAGGAAGCTAGCCTGGAAAGAGTGAGGATCCCAGCAAATTTCTGCAACCCCGGGGAGACACCTGCAGGAATGGGGCTGCCAGTGTGCGGGCCCATGGCTGACAGACGGCAACGAGGCATCCACCCACTGTGCACAGCAGCCCTGTGGGGTGCGGAGGGCGGGCCCCCGTGACCAAGGCTGCCACTGTGTCCCGCTGGCTGGGGGAGGGGGAGACACTGTCCAATGGGGGCTTAGACCCCAATTTTAGTCTCTGGCAATACGAATCCCCCGTCACCTACACATTACACACCGCAAGTTGGAGAGTTTCTTGACACCCCTGCTGACGACCACGAAACCCACCCTCAGATATAACAGGGCGGGGAAGAGGAAAGAAAACACTTCACCCACAGGCAGAGATTTCAATACAATCTATATTATCTCATATATATATCTTTCTCACTTTATTTGCTCACTTCTGTCACGCATTTAAAATGTCACAGAGACCAAAATAGAGCGGCTTTCTGGTGGAACTCATGGCAGTCATACACGAGATACAAAACTAGGGGACTCTGTCTTTTCATACATCATACAATTAATTTTTCAAGTATTTTTTATGTACAAAGAGCTACTCTATCAGGGGAAAAAATTAAAAAAAAAAAAAAAAAAAGGTAGGTTACACATCCTAGGAAGGAGGGGTGGATTGGGCAGCACGCACTCCCAGCCCCCATCTCCCCAGGGGCCGATAGCTCCCTGCCACTGAGCCCCACCCCCCACCCCCCACGCTAGCAGGCCAGTGCCAGGGCGGGCGAAGACTGGGGGCAGGGAGGCAGCAGCACACTTTGGCCTGGAAAGAGAATCAGAGAAACTGATTCATGAAAGCAAATGGCAGGCGTGGGGGCAGAGGTCCTCAGATAGCCCGCATCGACCTGCTGCCTTCTTGGGCAGCTTGGTACCAGCTGGCCAGGGCCACCGGACAGGGGCCCAAGAGCTGTCCTTGAGTATCCCACATGCAGGCTGCTGTGTCCCCGGGGGGCTGGCTTTGTCAAGGGAAGGCCCAGGAAGACTACTGGGATGGAACCCCCCACCCCGACCTTGGTACAGTCCCGAGAGATGGAGCCTGTTCATTCCAGGAGTGACCAAAAGGAAAGAGATTCCAGGTGAAGTTTCGACACAGCAGGCCAGGGCCCTACCCGCTCCCCTAGGCTGGTGCAGCCCAAACCCGAGTGTTCTCTGGGTTTCAAGCGACGGGACGCTCTGCCTGCATGAACGTGCGTCATGTCCTATCGCAAGGCTCTGCCTAAGACAGTGGCCAGTGGGGCTCCAGCCGTGGGAGGCTCCAGGAACCTGGGTATGGAGGTGGGCGAGGGGAGGGACTGGTGGTCCTGGCCACCCCTGAGCCCTGTCCAAGGGTGCTTGGCCCAGCACTGCAGGGTCCTCTGAGTGCCAGCAGCTTAACAGGGAGCCCCCAGGAGTGTCTGGGACAGACTGAGGGCCTAGGGAGGGGGAGCTTTCATATGTGACTAAGGCACAGAAGAGACGGGCCAGGGGGCCAGATGAGGCAGGACACCAGGCCCTGTGTGGATATGGGGCCAGAGAGAGGAGTCTGGGACCACTCCTCCCATCTCCCAATGCCCCGCTGCACGCCCCATCCCTCCGTCTTCCCTCCCGCAGGCTTGCATTCCTCGTTCCTCCGGAAGCAGGTCTGAAATGTGGAGACTCAGACCCTTTCCTGAAATGGGAGGGGGTAGCTCCAGGGAGAGAGCAGGACCTGATGGCTCAGCCTGGGATGGAGGGGTGGAAGCCCCTGACCCTCTGAGCAGCCAGGAAGCCAGGGCTCTGCCCAAGACACTGTCAAGAAGAAAGACCCCAGGTGAGAGGGCAGTGTGGGCTGCTGGCTGCCCTTCGCAGGCTGAAGGGGCACGAGGTGGCAGCAGGTGCGGCCACAGAGAGGACACCCAGGGGCCCAGAATCCCCTGCTTGGAGAGGCCGCGTCAACAGAAGTGGGGCCCAGAGGCACCTGAGCACCCTTCCCAGGTAGGACCCGTGGCTCCTGGTGTCTGGCCCTGATCCTTGCAGCACGCCAGGCGGGCCTGGCTCAGGAGGCGTCCACAGAGAGCGTCCGCATGCCCTCCTCCCTCCTCCTGCCCGCGGTGAGGCTACTCGAGCATCGGACAAGGGTGGACAGGGTGAGAGCAGGCAGGAAAGAGCCCAGATCCGAGTATTGCACGGAGTTTGGGGGTGGGGCTGTGAGTCTCATGGGGGAGGGGCAGTGACCTGGGGCCGGGGGCTGAGAAGGCTGCGGGGCCGCTGGTCCACAACACAAGCCTCTGGGCCTGGGCGTGGCTGGTCCCGACATGCCGCCGCCACAGGACGAGCGGCAGGGGCGTGGGAGTTGCTCCCAGTGTGCTCTGCCTGTCGCCCGGGCAGTGCAGGCTTGGCCAAGTATAAATATTCCTGAAGGCTCATGGGTGAGCCTAGGCTGTCCCCTGGGCAGACAGCATCTGGCTGTTCCTCTGGAAGCGATATGTGAGTGTTTCTGATCCAATAAATTAAAGGGCAATGCCAAAGCTGTGCCAGCCTGCCTCCTGGCCTGAACCTGAGGCTGGA